GCCTGCTACTGTCTGCTGTGTTGTCAGCACCCCTAGCCATTTCCCACTATTTGCCCTTCTGGAGAATCTAGTCAGCCTATCTAGAGGTCTTTGTTTTAGGAGGGTCAGCTCTTCCTCATCTACAGCAATCAGTTGTCAATATTCCTTTAGATAACACTGGGCTCTGCTGTTCCATTTTCCCAGTTCTATGCTGGGTTACTATCTGGGAGTCCCTTGGGCCACCCTGGCCAACAACTCAAAAGAAGGTATCACCTGTCTGGCATTGTTGCTTGTTATGTAGCCTTTAGCTATGCATATGGACTCATGAAATTATATTGGGCTCTTTAATCTTTGGTTATACTTTCCTTTTGGGTGTTTAAGGCCATACAGTTGGACCAGATAAACTGATTTATTTTTACTCTTAAGGTTGTTTGAGGATCTGTTCCTCAGGGGTCACATGGGCTTGGGAGGAGGCCCTGGCTCCTTTCTTTTACCAGTTCCGCCTATATGAAGACAAGTCAAAGGTCCTGCTTGACCATGGTTGGCTTCACTTGGAAGCATGGAGGAAATGATTCCTCTGTGTTGACCCTCCTCTTTGTAGACTGGACACTGGTTCAAGTCCATCTGATGGGGTCTCCTTGGCCTCCTTGATCAAGAGGACAGGTGACCCACCACCATTATAGGACATTTTGAGAGATGCTCATAGTCCCCTGGAACAAGTCGACCTAGGAGGTCAAGAAGCAAAAACTGTCCTTTATGTCCCCCTGACCAAATTATTATAGGCTTCAAAGTATGTCTGTTAAACACCCAAGAAGGTTAGTTCCACCAGTCTGGTATTTTTAATTACTGTGTGCCATGTAGATAAATCTTGGGCAAAGACCGGTTGTTTTCAGATAAACCATATGTAGACATATATTTCTTGATCCGCTATGTATAATTTGTCAGTAGGGTGTAGGAGTAATATGGCTCCCTCTGGTTTTCAAAACTAGATAGGCATTGTTTATCTCTTGCATTGTCTCACCCCTCCATCATGGTTTTCCCACTTAAAGTGCCCCCATTTCCCCCCTTTTTCACAGGACCCTTCTCCAATAGTCCTACCTCTCTGGATCTCCTTCTTTCCCTTTATCTGCTAGGGTCCTTGTATATCCTTCCCTCCCCCCTCCCTTAAGTTAACCCAATTTTTGTCTATATCTCCCTTATTAAGGCCCATTTCCTACTGTTCTTCTCTTTCAGGTTATTTCTTTTCCTTTATCTCCCTATTTCCTTTCCATTATCCTGGT